CTCCCCCATACACCCTTAATAATTTATAAATTATTATTGTATCTTATTCTACCCTGTCTTATAGGTTCGCTAGGAGTCGGAAATCCACTCAATGGCAGTGAGTCTGACAGTAAGCCAACAAAGGTGTTGTCGGGGTGCCTTCTGGTCCCCATGGATTCCAGCGGGCAGAGGGCAAACAAGGCGAGTGAAACAGGTACCGAGGCGGAGCAGTTTGCACTCTGCTGCTCATGAGAAATGATGGTGGGTTTACCTACCCGTGGAGTCTCGGAAGAAAGGCCTGGTGAACTGTCTGTAAGCCCCCCATCGGACTTGCTCGTGTACCTGACCCTGGCAGAGTGGGAGGAAAATGATACATCTAAGCCCTTGGGACCTGTGAGCGTTTTTATTACTTGGAAACTAGTCTGTGCAGATAATACTTAATGGAAAAACTCACCCCCACCGGGTTGTTTCCGACTCATCCTGAGCCTGTGCTGCGGGGTGGGGAAGGCATAAGAGCTGAGCATCCATCCGTCCCGGCTCACGTCACACGTCCCGCCAAAGAGAAGCACCTGCCGCCATCATCTCTCACGACCACTGAGTCGATTCCAACTCCTGGGGACCCTCTAGGATGGGGTCGAACTGCCCCTGGGGGTTTCCAAGCCCGTAATGATCATGCTGACGATTGTTTGATTTAGTAAAACTCGATTGTTCAAAAGACACAGTGGGTTGGACCTATGCATGCATCTTCACCGGCTGCTGGGGTGTCTCTGCCCTTGGGGCTCCCAGAGTCAATGACTCTGTGCTCTGCGTCTTGACCCCACCTTGAGAAGTCCTTTCCTCAGCAGCTCCAGGAGGGTGGCCCTGGCCAAGGAGTTGAGAATCTTCAGAGGAGACAGCTGGGGTGATAAGCTTACAGTTGGGTACTTCTTTACAGAGCTTGTCATCTTTGGCCAGGTTATGGGGCTTGTCCCAAACGCTGCCTTTGGGTCGCTGCTTCTTCTTGGCCCTGCCCCCGGGTTTATTCATAAGGTTTTTGTCTCTCTTGGCTGACTTCCAAGCATCTTGCTTCTTCTTATCGTCCTTGGGAGGCATCACGAAGCTCAGAGAGCAGCTGCCATCGCAGCAGCCTCACTAAGATATGGGCAAGACCATAATTCTTTTTTATTGGGGGCTCTTTTTTATTATTGGGGGCTTTTACAGCTCTTATACCAACCCCTACATCAATTGTATCAAGCATATTTGTAAATACGTTGCCGTCATTATTTTCTAAACACTTTCTATTTGAGCCCTTGGCATCAGCTCCTCCCCACCGCCTCCCAGACTGTAATTCTTTTACAGGAATCAAAAGCCTCATTTTTCTCCTGTGTACCAGGTGGTGGATTCAAACGGCTGACCTTGTAGTTAGTGACCCAACACGGGACCCACGACGTCACCAGGGATCATGCCATCGTATCAGAGGTGAGTTCATTAAATGTTTGACCAAATATAGCAGGTGAATGTTTAAGCTGAAAATGTTGTATAACCCGTGAATGATGTTCTAAATATCCAAACATTTGATCCCCAGTACCTCCACCAATATATAAATATCCAAACATTTGATCCCCAGTACCTCCACCAATATATCCAAACAGCCCACAGCAGAAGCCAGGCTCTCCACCCCTATTGTACAGAGTTCCTGAGAACCTATGGGAAAGGAAGAAGCCTCATCTCCCTCCCTAGGTGCAGCTGGTGGGTTCGATCCATCGGCCCTGCAGTAAGCAACCCAAAGGCTAACACACCACGTCATCGGGGCTCCTTCAAATTAAGCTAAGGACCCTCGGGAAGATTTTGGAGAGCACCTCGGATGGCCACAGATCAACCAGATCTGTCTTGGAGAAAGGGCAGCCAGGTGAAGATGTCGGGCCTTCATCTCCAGGACCATGGACAGGTGAGGAGAGACCAGGCCCTGGCGGAGGCCATCCTGCTTAGCGCAGTAGAAGGGCGGTGAGCAAGAGGAAGATCCTCAAGGGGACAGACGGATGGACACAGTGGCTGCCGCAGTGGGGCTCAGACACAATGCTCAGATGCTGGTGCTGGACCGAGCCCTGTTTCCTTCTGTGGTACCCAGAGTCGAGGTGAGTCCGAACTGTCGGGTGGGCACCCCACAGCAATAACACCCAGGGATAAGCCCTAAACGTGAATGGAGAATGGGCTCTGTATGCAGACCCTGGGCACAATGGCCGCCACAGTGGGTTCGAACATATCCGATGATGATGACGATGGCACAAGATCAACGCGGGCAGCGTCTCCGTTGGCTGGCTGCATGTGGGGTGGCTGTGAGTGGGAACAGACTGGGTGGCACCGACTAACAAGGACAAAGGCTGTCTCTTCAGGGGGTGGGGGATGGAGTGGGGAGCAGACGGCAAGGAGTTCAAGATGGAAGAGAAAGTGTTTGAAACTGATTGTGGTGGCAATTGTCCTACGCTGCTCTGCTCCATGTGATTGACCTATGGAATGACATGCTATCTGTGTTAGCTTGCAATAAAAGGGTTGCGGGGCAGAGGAGGGAGAAGAAGTGGAAAAGAAAGGCAGAGGGGGATTGAAGATGAGAATACAGTGGAGAAGGTGGGGCCCACAGGGACAGACAGAGGCTGGCAGAGTACGGTGCCGCTGGAGAGCTGGATGCTGGAGGGAACCGGGCTGGATTCTGTCTTAGAGCTTTGGATTGGGACCTCCTAGTCCCCACAGAGGAGCCCTGATGGAGTCGTGGGTCACACGATGGGCTGCTCACCGCAAGGCCGGCAGTTCAAACCCATCAGCTGACCGGATGGAGAAAGATGAGGCTGTCTTGCTCCCCGGAATGATGTAGTTCCATGGGATCCGCAGGGGCAGTGCTACCCTGCCCTGTGAGTCAACTGACTTGATGGCAGGGAGTGGCTTTTGGTTTGGGCTTTCACGACAGGGACAAGACCTTTCTGTTTGTCGACTTGTTCGCCAACCTGGTGGCATGGTTTCACGTCACAGATGAACAACACAAGCAGCGGCCAGCATGTTTGTTGTTAGGTAACATTGGGTCGGTTCCCTCCCTCATGGATAAGACCCCTGTTGATGAAAAAAAAAAAAAACACACCAAAAAACAAATAAAACCTGGTTGATTAAAAAAAAAAAAGTAAAAAGATTGCATCAACCTGTAAAACCAATGCATACTGGTTTTTAAAAATCATTTTATTGGAGGCTCATACAACTCTGATTACAATCCAGACATGCATCAATTGTGTAAGCACATTTGTACATTCGTTGCCCTCATCATTCTCAAAGCATTTGCTCTCCACTTAAGCCCTTGGCATCAGCTCCTCATTTTTACCCCTCCCTGCCCACTCCCCCTCCCTTATGAACCCTTGATAATTTATAAATTATGATTTGTTCATATCTTGCACCGTCCGATGTCTCCCTTCACCCGCTTTTCTGTTGTCCATCCCCCAGGGAGGAGGGTCTATGTAGATCCCTGTAATTGGTTCCCCAATATTTACTGTTTTATCGTCCGCAGGTCCCACCATTATTTCTCGTTCCACTGATGGGTAGTTCGGTCTCATTGGGGAAACGGATCGCCAGGCCATTCTTCCTAGTCTTCCTTGGCTGGAACTTGGCTCATAGAAACACACAGGTTTCCGCAGACAGGTGACTCGCATCAGGTGCACTAACTAGCTGGAAATGGAACTTGGGTCTCCAGCATGGCAGGTAGAGATTCTACCACTGACCCACCACCTGCCCCTCCTTCCGCCGTGTATTCCCCCAGCCATCGCATGGAGTCCACTCAGATTCAGAAGACACAGGGGACCCTTTCACCCAATAGGGTTTCCGAGGCTGCCGTCAATAGTCCACCTTATGCTTAGTAGCGGAGTGCTTCACCTCTGCGCCACCACCCGCTCCTTCCCGTCGCGGGGCACATTGAGGCCCACAGGTAACCAACTTCGCCGGGCGAGACCACGCAGCCGGAACTAGAGAGGCGGCCTCCAGGAACCACATCACACCTCCACCTGCGTGTCCTGGCGCTATCTGCCTCCTGTCTTCCCAACCTCCACCTCCTGGGGAGGCCCCAGCCAGGCGGGCGGGGCGCCACCCTCCCTCCCTCCCTCCCTCCGAGTCCTGCCTGGGGCCCAGACTTTAGCCCCAGGCGCCGATAAGGCAGGCCGAGCCGGATGCTGCAAAATTCCCCCTTGCCCTGTGCCAGGGGAGTTACCCAGGTCGGGTCGCGGGGAGGGGAGAGGGCAGGGTGGAGGTGGAGGGGGACTAGGGGAGGGGGAGGCTTATCTGCAGCTCCCCAGGGCCTTGAGTGTCGGCCACTGCTCTTCTCTGTGCCTCGGTTTCCCTTTCGACGAAATGGGCGTGGTTCCACGGGTGGGGACCCTCCGGGGAAGATGAAGATGAGGTTTTCCCCAATCCAGTGGAGACAGGGGCCGCAATCCCATGGAGTGAGGTCAGTCCTGGGTTGGTCTGGGTTTTCAGAGGGTTGAAGGCAAGAACCTGAACGGAACTCACTGCCATCCAGTCGATTCCAACAATAGAACGGCCCCTGGGGGTTTCTGAGACTGTAACTGTTTAAGGGAGCGGACAGCCTCACCTTTCTCCCAAGGAGTAGCTAGTGGTTTCGAACTGCTGGACTTGAGGCTCGCAGCCCCACAGGGAACCCACTATGCTCCAGGGTTCCTAAGAGGGAGGGAAGGAGGACCTGTTTAGATGGAGGGTGTGTTTCTAATGTGTTGGGGGAGACAGGTGACCTCAGGCAGATGATGGGAGGTGAGGGCCTCCCAGGCTGCTGGGGGTGAGCGGCACAGCTTCCCCAACCATGGTGGAAATGCGGGGGGCCCTCGCATGAAGTGGGGGACAGATAATCTCACATCACAAGCTTGATGGCGCCTAGGGTTCCTGTGCTCGGCTGCTAGGTGGAAGCTTCGAGGTCCCCCTGCACCCAGAAGGTGCTTCATTTAGAAAGGCCCGGAGCTATTAACGATGAGTAGTACAGGAATGGAGCAATTGTCTTTAAAACTGTGGTGACGATGGCACAACTCTCCTCGACGTGTCTGAACGATTGAATGAATCGCATCATGTGTGAATTATATGCCATTTAAACTGTTAGAGAAAGAAAGGCCTAGGCATCAATTGGATAACCCCATGGAGCAGAAACCTGCTATTTCCTTTAGCCTGGTGGCAGAGGTAGGCACCCACCTCCTGTCTGAAGAGGGAGACAGGTGCACCTGTCTGAGGTTGCCACAGACATGCCTCCCTGAGCAGCCCCTGGACACTTGAAACCCCACCTTCCGCCCCACCCCGACCCCGGCCTCGCCAGGGGAGCGGCGGCGCCGGGGGAGCGCGCGGTATTTGAACCTGCGCTAGTCGGGGAAGTCGGCCTGGCTCCGGGGTGGCCCCGCTCTTTTGTGAATGAGCTGCACCTGGCTGGCGGTGCGCTCGCGCCACCCAGCGGTGTCTCTGCAGCGAGCCTCCCGGAGCGGGAGGAGCGCGGGACCAGAGCCCCTGCGGTGGACACCGTCCCTCCGTGGGGCCCGGGTCCCCCATCCCCGAAGCTGCGATTCCTTGGCTTT